ATAGCAGTCCCACTACAGGTTAACAGAAAGATACAATTAATTCCTCAGTTTGTTCAGGCAGCTTCTCAGTCAACTAGTTCAAGTCCAAGTTCAGGCCAGCAACACAAATGCAAATCTCTGGTTTCCTCAGTCATTCTTTCATAGCAGTAGTAACAAGTCAGTTCTTCTTTCAATTGTCCAGCAAGCAAAACCTTTAACTCTGACCCTATATGCTGGGCTCTGCCCCACCACAGTCTCTCCACAGTCTGACCAGTTTTCCTTCCTTTGTTGGCCCCACAGCTGTTGATGATGTAGAAGACACTGAACAAAATGAACTTTCTGTCTGCAGCTGAGGCAGCTAAAGATCATAAACCCAGAGTGGGGTAAGGCAATAGCTAGAAAAGACATTTTCAAAAATTCTAACATTAAGAAAATCACAGAGAGAAGCAAGAACAATGAAAAGTGATGAGAGAACTCTCTGGGCAGCACAGCCACTAGCTGAAAGGTTGGTACCACAGTGCCTCAGGAGACAGGGTTGGCAAGATGCTTCCAATGGTCACAACTTTGAAAACCCGATGAAACATTTTTAATGGGCACTCATGGGGTCACCATAAGTTAAAATTGAACCAAAGACTACCTACCAACAGCAACAACAATGTATTTTACTAAGCCAAATAATTCAGAAAATGGATAGAGTAGGAGGTGAAACAGAGAGTCACCAGAGCAAAGAAGAAAGACAAAGAAAGTTGCCCACATGAAAAGACTTCAAAAGAAACTGGCTGACTGGGAGAAGAGACAGCCAAGGATATTGCTTGCAGACCTCTCTCATGGAAGTCTCATGTCAGAAGTTTGCCACAAATCTGAGGTGTGAAGCCAAGACCCAGAGAGCATATGGCAGTTGGCCAAGGTCATACAGCCAGTAAATGATGGATCCAGAACTCAAACAGAGATTTGACTGATTTCAAAGCCTTCTGCTGTTTTTCGCAGAAGAAACCAAGAGATTATACAGAGAGGGAAAGAGCAGAAACAACAGATGGACAGAAGAAAAGACAGAACACCACTTTACATTGACCTTTGTATCATTTTTTAAGAGAAAAAGGGAAGAGGTCTTAACCCATACTTACCAGACTAAGTCTCAGGAATAGGAGATAACATCACAGGCAGTGCCAGGTCACAGGAAATTCAATTACCTGCAGCTCATTGAACATTTATGACACCTGTTCTTGCCAGGCCCCATATTGGGTGCTGGTGTCATGGAGACGAACCAAACATGGTCCCACTGTTGCCCAGAGGGGAAGGTAGGCACATAAATAACTAAGAGACAGTGTCCTAAAACCCATGAAACCAATCCTGATAGTACCAAGAAAGCACAAAAGCAGCAGGGGTTGATTCCACGTAGTAGGTTAAGAAGTAACAAGCAAGTTAGCAAGGCTCTTCAGGCAAAAGGAGCAGCCTGAATAAAGACACAAGGCAAGCAAGTAATGGGTAAGGTGGGCATCAGGTATGGTTGGATCATGATCTCATGGCAAGAAATAAAGTTAGAAAGATAGGATGGGAGTCAGTGTGAAAACTCTTAAATGCAAGATTAAGACAATTGTACTTGAGTTCTGGAACAGTGGTTCTCAAATTGTGTCTCTGAGAGAACCCATGTGTACTTTATGCAGTTGTAAACACAAAAATACTGCTATTGAATTGGGACCAATTCATAGCTGACCTTCCTGCAAGTTTTTAGAGGCTGTAAATCACAAAGGAGATTGCCCATCTTTGTCCTGAGAAGCTGCTGGTAGATTCAAACTGCCAGAGAGGCGCTACCTTTGGTTTGTTGTTATTGAGAATCGTCGAGTCAGAACAACCCATAGCTGACCCTTCAGTGGGTTTTCAGAGGCAGTAAGTAACACAAGAGGGAAATGCCCGTCCTTCTCCCACAGAGCAGCTGGTGGATTCAAACAATGTGCCTTTGGGATTGCAGCTCAGTTTAGCAATACAATCCCCTACTGACTACACCACCAGAGCTCCCTGAAGTTGTAAGGTTCTGCCATTAATTTAAAACTATAGTCATATTTTCTTCATTTGAAAGAAGGTGAATAAAATGACAATAGACTGTTCTCAGTTCTGAAGTGTTTTTCCTCAACATCTTTTTCTGAAGCCCTCAGAGTATGCCAATTGTATAAAATAATAACAGGATTAGCATGGAATCATAATGTGAGGTGTTTCTCCTTTTGTTTTTCCTTTTTTTATAATCTTAACTTTAATTTGGCAACAATCCAATGTATTTTACAAAACCCTGTGATTTCCTACTTCTACCTAAAATATTCAGAGTCATGGAAGAATTTTATGCAAAGGAAAGATAAAATCTGACCTTCTTGTGAGGGGAAAAAAGAAAATCATGCGGGAGACCTAGGAAAGAGAGTTGGGGAAAAGGATCCCGGTTAGGCTGTTGACAAACTAAAGCAAGAGTTGGTCTGGATTATAGGGTGAAGAAACAGGGAAAGAAGGGAAGAGCAAATTCTGGAGCCAAAAAGGGAGATCTGTTCAATGATCCTCTAAGTTTCTTCTCTGGACAACTTAAGGAATTCTGGAAGAATCAAACTGGTAAGGTGAGCATTTCAATGACCCAGTGTCATGTAGAGGAATATCCAGCAGAAGACTACTTTTGTACCTCCTGGCTTAATTTAGCCTGTTTGTCACCGTGAAAGTAGGAGGGGAAGCATGATGGGGGAGCGGGTAACTGTTTGATTATCTGTCATAAGACATTAATTTTCTCTAATAAGAAGTATTGACATTTATTGAACACTTGCTATGAACCAAATTGTAGTCTGAGTGCTTTGCAAATAATATTTCCCATTTAATTTACACCGTCACATCTATAACGTTTAGCAAATGCTTCCCTGGTATTGTGTCAACTTCTACAGCTTTTCAAGTGGTTCACTTGATCCTCACAGCAACATTGAGCTAGGTACTTTTATCCCCTCTTCTCTCATTTTAAGGATAACGAAATGGAGACACAGAGAAGCCAAGTGACTTGTCTAAGATCAAATGGCCAGAAAGTGACAAAGCCAAGACTGGAAGCCAGGTTTCCCCTGGTTAGCTTCTCAACTTTAATTAACAGTACTTTGCTTCCCTCTCTTAGACGTTCTCCCCTCTCTAGCAAGGTTCAGGTCACTAAAGGTCAGAGAAAGGAACCCTTTCTTAATCCTTCAAGCCCTGGCTCAGTGTTTCTCAAATCCTATCTGCCTCCTGAGCCGGATATTCTTGAGTACCTTGTAAAAAATGTAAATTCCTGGTTATCTTCCCCAGAAGCTATAGTTACATCCCATAACACATGCAGTCCCCATGAGTTGTAATGTATTATATGGTGGGCTTAGGGTTTTTTAGGTAAAATGGAGTTTCTAGTTATTCTTATGTACACTAGGATTGGAAGGCAGAGACCCTGTATAGTGCAAACAATTAAACACTCAGCTACTAAGCAAAAGGCTGGCAGTTTTAACCCACCCAGAGGCACTTCAGAAGAAAAGCCTGGCAATACATTTCCAAAATTACAGCTGTTAAAATCCTGTGGAGCTCCCAAAGGTTCACAGTTCAAATCCACCAGATGCTCTGCTGGAGAAGGAGGGACAATCTCCTCCTGTGCCAGTGGGATCCGATTCGACAGCACATAGAAAGTAATTTTAAAAAAGAAATCCTCTGGAGCACAAATCTACTCCGAGCTGCAGTTCTGCTCTGAAACACATGGGGTTGTCATGAGTCAGAATTGAGTTCATGACAAGTGACTTGTTCTGGTGGTGGTGGTGTGTATTTGAAGACTGGCAGTCACAGGGCTCACCCCAACAGCACCTCCTCCCTTCCAGGAGCACTTCTTCTTCACACTCCAGCAGGGCATCCTGTCTTGATGTTCAACTAGCGATTTCAGTGATTTCTTTATCTATGTCTTCCTTCCCTTAAAAATAAGATCTAGCACTTTTACTGTGTTGCACCTTTTGACAAATCAGTTCCATCCCTTCTTAATTCTTTTCTAACGACTCCTTATGATTCCTCCCCTTATTCTAAGCATCTTCACCTCCACAATATTATTATTCTATTATTTTATCAAATTCTCACAACAGCTTTGAAAAAGACAATTAGAATACTGATTGTATGTTTTTGCACAAAGGAGAAAATAGACTCCCAGTTTTAGTCACTTATCCAAGGTAACCCAATTAGGAAAGCAGGGCTAGGCTTTAAATCCAAATCTTCTAACCTCAAGCACAGAACACTGCCTCCATAATAGTGTGAAGAATTAGGCTTCACTTATTGAGCACTCCAGGCTCAAACAAAAACCCAAACTCACTGCCATCACAGCGACCTGTTAGAACAGAGTAGAACCGTCAGACTCTAGACTACTTAACAACACTGAGCTTTATCGGTTTCTGATACTGCAAGTCTTAGCAGGGCAGGCTGCTTCACTTTTTGCCTGTGGAGTGACTAAGGGGTTCGAACCCACTGCGCCACAGGGCTCTCATTCAAGGTTAAATGAGAAAAGGCAGGGAGAAGGGGAAGCTAGGGTAAGGCGCAATGACTCTCTTAAATGAAACCCCTAAATGCAGTCGTGGTTGTAGGCACGGCGTTAGGCCAAATCCAGACTCTTTTGGGGAGAACAGCTTTGGCGCGCTTAGAATCTCGTGTCCCTCATTTTTCATTCCAGTTTCTCCAGATTGTCTTGCCAGGCGCCACCGTGTGGGCTACAGAGGAAGGTACTCAAACTCAACTCGGCGTAGAGTGGGAACCGATTCACAGGAGGATCCTTCAGTGGGTTTTCAGAGGCTGTAAATCGCACCAAACAGCCCTTTA